CTACTCAAAAGAAGTTAAGGATCACCCGATTCTTTCATAATGGTAAAGTTAATCTGTCATGACATGATAGATTAACTATAGTAATATGAAAGAATCAGGTGATCCTTATCTTCTTTTGAGTAGTATATATCAGAAATGAATTTTGTTGTTCTACGAGTTGGCTAATTATAAAGTATAACTATTCGGTAATGAAATATAAAGTCAGCATTGGCTTTTGCTCATCTCTGCTTCATCCAGCCAACATCGACCGTTGCTGAAGCTGTTTAATGAAGTGGATGACATGGAACATTGTGCAGTGAAAACTCTTTCATTATGTATAATATATAGGACACATTTTTTTTCTCGCTTCATTAATAAACTAATGAATTCAGCTGTATCGATTCCACTTGGTTTGAAATCCGATGACATGTAAGCCATTTCCCTGTATCCAGCTCTATCTTGAGGCATGAGCCCTCAATTCAAAGCCTCCGCGTTGTACAAGGCATATTATTCAGGGTAGGAGATTCTATAAAACATGGCCATTATTTTGTCATTTATGCAGAGAGGGATTTCAAATAGCATGCACTTGCATTATATCATCATTAAGCGGGGTGCACTGGAGCTATAAAACATGGAATTATATTGCCGTTATGAGGGCAACCATGATCGTAGACAACTCGCACATTACATTGTCAAATATTGGGTTTGGAAGCAGTTGAATATTCCAAGTGGGGATATTGTGCTGCTGAGTTGATTCAGAATGCAGAGTGTGTGAAACCGTCAACTATCTATAGTGATGCATGCATGCATGCATGCATGTGGGTGCATGTGGGCGCATGTGGGCGCATGTGGGCGTGGCAGAGAAGGCTGCAGATGGCATTGTTGCACTAATGTGGGATCAGATGTGGGGATATATTTCAATACTGTTGTTTGATTGTGCAGAAATTACGGTTCATCATATATTCCTTCCGTGTTCATACTTTATGAATATATTTCACGCAAATAAATATGTTGATTTTTTTTGTGAATAAAATTATTTATATTCAAAGTTAATGTTTAAATTATTGTTAAAATTATTGTTAACAACCTCAGAAATAACCTCAGATCCAAAATCATGCAGCTTTTAATGAATGGTTCATAGATATTATTAATGGAAAATACGAAACGCATATTCAGTCTTTGAAGTCTTCCCATATCAGCTAGTAGTTCTGCAGGACCTTATATGTGAAATTGATGTATTAATCTTTTTTCTGTATCATTTAGTTTTAGTATTGGCAATAAAGCATTTTCTGTGAACACTTGGCAGCTCCTAACCTCCATGCTATTTTCCATTCACTGCCAATTCATTCAAGGTTTATGGGTAATTTAGGCAGTATAACGTACGGGCCAACAGCAGAGCCTATTTCCTCGGATTTAACTGTGTTGTAAGCTTATGAAAGATGAAAGGAGGTATATTGAACACACAGACCTATTTATTTGTTTCGAGTGATAAGGACAGACTGCAAGCTGTGAAACAGACCACAAGAGCAGCTAACTGGGAAACAAAATGTGTGTTTATTGTTTGTTTATTGTGTGTTTATTGTGTGTCCTTTGGAGCACAGCTGTGGCTGTGTTCAGTCAAGCGGAAATAGGTCCCTGTGTTCAATCAAGCAGAGCAGGTTCTCTGTGCTCTTGTGAGTGAGTGAGTGAGTGAGTGAGTAAGTTGTGTATTACGCCGCTTTTAACATTATTCCAGCTATATCACAGCATGTCAGCTCAATGTGAAAGGAAAGCCTGAAGTGATACAGGTCTTAGACGTTTACCACTTCGGTGAAACCCACGAGCACGGGTATGGTTGTCAAATCAAGAAACCGTGTCATACCAAAAAATGTTAAAAGATGGAACTTGTTGTTACCCTGCCTGGCGTTCAGCATTAAGGGGATAAAACAAGGACTGGTCGGCTCGGAGTCAGTTTACTGTGTCTGAGTGGGGCATTCATGTAAAACTGTAGAATGGTATCTCAGTGTGCTAGCACAATAAATCGGCATCAGTCCAGAATAGTACAAGCAGCCGCACGCACCCACCCACCTGCATGCATGTCGCTATAATCTTGGATGTGACATTAAACCCCATTTCACATCACCTCTGTGGTGTGGTGGAGGGTCCCTGTGTAGTGTGGGAACACAGGTTAGCTCCCAGTATATCGTAGTACGTCCAATATATCAGAGTACGTCCAATATATCAGAGTACGTAGTGCGGTACAGATACCTGTAACGCACCATATCACAATATATTTCAGTAGAATTTCTTTCCTCATACACTGCCCCCTCTTTGCTCAGGGTAGCCTAGTGGTTAAAGCGTTTACTCGTCATGCTGTCAATTCCCCTCATGGGTACAGTGTGTGAAGCCTATTTCTGCTGTCCCCGTGATATTTGCTGGAATATTGCTAAAAGCAGCATAAAATACAACTAACTCGCTTTGCACAGTAGTCACTGCAATATGTCGGCTTACAGTGGGATGGAAGGCCGAAGAGACGCAGGTCTTGGTCAAACCCATGAGCATGGATATGGTTGAGACTATCAACAGCAGGTCGATTCGGGAAATAACCCCCATCCTTTCGGATTATGGCATGCCTAAGGGAGGTAACTCTGCCTCACCATTGTCTCCAAGGTGTCCTTTGGGGCATTGAGTGAGTGAGTTGGGTTTAACACTGCTTTTAACACTATTCCCTGTCGGCTTAATGTGGGAGGAAAGCCTGAAGTGATGAAGGTCTGAGACGATTACCACTTAGGTGAAACAAACCTAGAAACATAATCTGGGTGAACTGGGATTCTAACCCACAATCATAGGTTTCTGGCATGCCCAAGGGACGCAACTCTGCACAGCGAATTGCGGCACCTTAGATGACTTGGCCACCCGTGCCCGCTATTTGGGACATTGAATTTTACAATGTTAATGGTGTTATTTCTTACGAATTTTGTCTTCCTGTAATAAAATCGTGGCCACAAACGATGTTTGTTTAAACAGACTGGACTGAAAATGAGATGTTGGGATATTTGAGGTGTGAATTTCTTCCTGTATATGGTAATGGCGCTGTGTTTCTAATGTTGCACATTGTTTCAGCTGTCGCTGAACACTTCCAGGTCTCTGTGACCTGAACACCTCCTGAAGGCATCAATGCGACATCTGTTACCCCCAGCCTTTCCATTGTTCAAACCAAATATATGGTGTAATATTTAGGAGAAAATATTTCTCATGTATTGAAATTACCTTCCTTGTATTTATGACTTATGGACATTTTTGTAATTAATTGGTTTTATTGGCCTGAAGTTCATTGTGAATAATGATTACATAATAAATAACTATATATATATGGTGGTCCATGACTGAGGCACTGCAGCTGGTGACAGCAGGGAGCCTGGAGCCTGGAGCCTGGGGCCTGGGGCTGTGTCATGGTGGAACTGGGGGCTGGATGGGATCAGTGCTGTGATGTTTTAGACACAACAGGGTTTTACTGGAATATTGAATCCGAGATGCATACAAATTAAGAGTGGAGGCAAATAATTTCCATTGCAAGTCCCATTGGATGCAAAAGAATATTGATGTTGAAATGATTAAATAATTAACTTGAAGCCTGTACGTATGATTTATCTGATAGTTCTGTTCTAGAAGGACAATCAATACATTAATATTCGGACAGTCCTTGCCAGATTTTCTTTTCTCAAGCTCCACATTTTGATTCAAACAAGAAATCCCCATGTATTATAAGCATAAAGCATCACACATATTTTGTATTTTGTTTGCTGTTGGTACATTGATTAACGCCCATCCATATACCGTATTCGACGTAAAAAGCGCCCCGCTCTAATAAGCGCCCACGGCGATATTTGCTAATATAATGGCGAGTGAACAATCCCAATCAGCACCCCTTCCGATTGATCAATGTACACAAGACTTATTTATTCGTGAATAATACGCACTCTTGTGTTATATAACCCTTAATTATGGGCAATTAAATTCTTGAAAAATATATCTGTCGTATGTAAACATTTCAGGCGAAATTTACGATCTTTTGATTTTACGAGATTTTGAGAGCGCCTTGGGCGCTTATTATGTCGAATATGGTAATTGATTACCAAAAGACCCCAGTATATAGACATGGAAGATCCCTGATCCTACCTGGTACCCACATTTGCACGTCCATAATGCAATCCTGAACTACAGTGTTGAAATAAGACAAATATTTGTGGCAATATTAAAAAGTGCTCTATTACTTAATTTGAGAGTTAAGCACACTTGATGTTTGTAAGAGCCTATGATAAGTTAGTTAATGTTCGTTCAGTCTGAAACTTAATACATCAGTAAATGGTGTTGTGCGTCATCCTTTTTGTTGATGGCAGTCGATATCATGTTGTTAATCTCACTTCGTTGGAACTTTGATATGATTAAGTAAATATTAACCCAGCTGTGTGAAATGTGCATGTATACATACCCAGTAGAGCGCTACTGACAATATTGCCTGTTGTGATTCAATTCTCTTCATCCATTACTGTCTTGAGCTCTTCAGTACAGAACAGCCAATTAGCTATGCACAAACCTGTCAGTCAGATGTTCATAGCACCTCATTATAACGCAGAATTGGGAGACTGCCTTTGATGTCCATGTCTGTCCTTATAGTGAGTGGCTTAATGCAATATTTCAGCCCTACCTCAGTGTCAAGTTTTAACAGCTTCGATATACTAACACTGAACAATATTCTAGGCTATGTAGAGGGTGGTAGCTTTGAAGGCTTATTGCCTTTTAACGGATGTGATTTATTGAGATATATCTGCCTAATAGAAGTACTAAGCATCAAATGAAAAAATGATTACGTTTTATTGATCAGAGGGACTTCTCCTTTGTTGGCGGCTGGTGTAATCACACGGCAGTTTCATCCTTAACTTGTGGCTGCGAGCAGGGTGGCAGGAAGGACCTGCTATTTCCTTTATGAGGCAATAAAGCCCTCTAACACAAGGGATTTGTACCTGAGAAAGCATGCATGCTGGTGAGGTCACGGGTCATGGGTCAGAGGTCAACTTGCCTCAGGGGTCACAGGTGAGAGTGTAAAGTAAAGCAGACGAGTTTGCTGTTGAAAGTCGAGGCAATCAGATAGAAGGCAAGTGGACCAAGCAGACGGGCAGGGATGTTCAGTGGGGAATTTCGCTAACTCAATATATAGCAAGATTGAGTGTAGTTCCCTTTGTCTAGAGACTGGGAGAGCAGTGTTGTGGTAATGAATTGCAACTAGTCGTCAGCTGGGGTGTTTGTGTGGCCCCGTGGGAGGTGGACACAAAGGATCTTGTTGAGAAGGTGAGGAAATCCTGGTCCTCACTGCCCGAGGAGAGTTGCGGCTGGCGGGCAGCGAGGTGGGAGAAGGAGTTAATTGCCAGTGTTGACATGGAATGCAGGCTGTTGTACAAGGATACAACTTAGTGGTGGGTCAGTGAGCAGGCAGACAGGCGGGGAGCAGGAGACCCAGGGCTATGCTCAGGACATTTGTGTTGCTGGATTGTACAGTGCTGAGATTCCAGGAACCCACTGAATGAGACTTGCCAGGATATATCTTTATAATTCCCTGCCTCCTGTGGGATACAGCTTGGTGTGAAATTGCTTGCTTATCATTTGCTTGGTGTGGGATATTTTGAGATTGATTGCAAGGTGAGGAAGTTTATAAGTGAGCTGGATATTACCGTTTCACCCAGTGTTAGAAGGGAGCTGGATATTGCTGTTTCACTCAGTGAAGTGAGTGTGAGGTGGCCGAGTGGAACGACAGTTTGGATGTGTGCAATGGATGAGTCCAGAACTGACCCCAGTGTGTCCCGTCCCACGGGGAGAGGTCAAGGGTCAGTCCTGTAGCTCCACACTCTGCCTGGAGTAGCTGTGCTGATAATTACTTGGATCTACTTTACGTGCCAGGATAATCGTGCCAGGATAATCGGGGTTGAAGACAGGTGAGGAACTCTGCCAGGATAATTGGTGTTGAAGACAGGTGAGGAATTTTGCCGTGTCAATGTGGCAGTGTAAGTCATGGCTGGCTGCCTGCCTGATGAGGTGTGGATCTCACTTGCCGTGTTTGTTTGGTTTGGCTGACGTTTGACCTATGTTGCTTGCTGATCTGCTCCCAAGTCCTGTTCTACCTGACTTGGTCCCTGAGTCCTGCTATACTGACTTGGTCCCCGAGTCTTGCTGTACCTGCCTTGGTCCCCGAGTCCTCCTATGCCTGACTTGCTCCCCGAGTCCCCATAAACAAGAGCTGGGATTTAGTTTGGTGTTCCCCTCTGACTTCATGTATTGATTGGGTGGTGGTTTAGCCAGCTCGTCATGCTGAAGACCCTGGTTCGATTCCCCACATGGGTACAATGACTGCAGCCCATTTCTGGTTTTCTCCGCCGTGATATTGCTGGAATATTGTTAAAATTGGTGTAAAACCATACTCACTCACACATGTATTGATTTCTCAGAAAGACTGGGATTGTATGGTTGTTTCCACTTTCCGAAAAATTGATAAAATCTAGTTGAAACCGTTTTTCACTTTGGAGATACCTGAATCCAGTCTTAACATGTGTGTTGTAATGTAAATGTAACGGGGCCAGCATAAATGGTTTTGGAAAAAATATATTCACACGAAATTTGCTGGGTGCTAAGAAAGCAATAAAACAAAGTTCCACTGACTTGGCGTTTTGTCAACCCCTGTTGCCATAACTTCATGACAACACCTCTGAATAATATCTTTTGTATGCCCCATATGTGGAGGGTTGTTGTCCCGGAGCAGATGGTGCACACCTGGAGGTGGTGTGTCTTGCATCTGTTCCCCCTCTGCAAGGGAAGCATACCCCTCTCCCCAAGACTCATCCACCGTCTTGAACCAGGAAATGGTGAGCGAGGTTAAAGAAACAGACAGGATATAAAGCTACAGACCTGTTCTCAATATTGCCCTGACATGGACCTGAAGCACATCTGTACCCTGACATTGACCTGTGTATAGTGGTGTATCGATACTGCGATACAGTCGTGTATCGTGAGATGCAACCCATGATACAATCCTTCCATTTACAACCCCAGTATCGAGATACATACGATACATTATATTACAAGTTATATTACAAGTTATATTGATGTAAAAACATGTGAATAATAACAGAAACTGTTCAAACCAGCAGATTCTTGTATTTCCCTGTTGGCTACAAAAAGCAGAACATTCACAGCACCCAGCACAATATCCCATCTTCGATCTCTGAAATTTAAAAACAATGATTTAGGGTTGGAATTCACCTGCAAAAAGAAAGAATATCAACTAAGGACGTTAAAGTTTTGTGTCAAATTGTATCGCACACATAGTATCGAGATACGTATCATATCGTGACCCCACCATTACGTTACCCCTCCAGTCAGAGCTGCGCTGAGGCGAGGGACCTGTATCATGTGAAGATCCGGGGTAGAATAGGTCTTCAGCAACCCATACTTGCCATAAAAGGTGACTATGCTTGTCGTAAGAGGCGACTACCGAGACCGGGTGGTCAGGCTCACCGACATGGTTGATGCATGTCATCGATCCCAATTGTGTGGATTGATGCTCATGATGTCAATGACTGGATTGTCTGGTCCAGACTCGATTATCTACAGACCGCCGTCATATAGCTGGAATATTGCTGAGTGCTGCATTAGACAACAAACAATCCTCATCAACTGTATTTTGTACAGTGAAGTCGTATATTCCAGTGACATAATATATCACACATACTTATGTATCAACCCATTTGCCGCTTACTTCTTAACATGTTTGCACTGAGTGTTGCTTTGAAGCTTTAGTTAACTTATGTAGAACAACGTGTGTTAAGTAGGGCCGTGGAGATCGAGATGTTTTATTCTGGGCAGAATATTATCAGCTTATACGCCAGACAACGCTGTACTGCAGAGACCTTCATGCTGTCGTATATGCTGCGTGGAGGATAACGGGATGCCTGCTATATGAGCTGTATTGCACATTGTACTCAGTACACAGCTCAGCATGAAGAGTGGGTATCAGTGTGCACCAAGACTGTGCTCAACATCCGACTGCTGAGATCAACTTGTTTACACTCCCTTCTGTCTCTCTGCGAGATAATCAGTTTACCTTCTGGAAGATAACAAGTGTTATATCCCTCCACATAAATCACTAACTGCTGGATCAGGAATCGTATTATGCTTCACAAATCGAGCCCACTTGCGCCATACCTGATGGCTGTCCGCTGCACAGGAGCTGCATTGTCTGTAACAGCAGTTACCATCACCTTCAGCAGCATCTCCAACGTGTTGAGTCACAGCTTGGTTTTTATCATGCTGGATCACACTTCTGTCCATCAGTCATCAAATGGCAATAAAAACATCAAGTCTCAACACCAGTCACTATATTTCAGTTGAATCTACAAAATGAATTGGTTGCTGAAAAGATTTGCATTATCGAATAAATGAACTGCAGTTTTTGACCCTGAACTTGTTCGTCATTACTAGCCATGATGAGCCTACATTACCAGCCCATATGACAAGCCATGACTAGGCCTATGAAGATCCGGGGTAGAATAGGTCTTCACCAGACCATGCTTGCTGTAGAAGGCGACTATGCTTGTCGTAAGAGGTGACTAATGGGATCGGGTGGTCAGGCTCGCTGACTTGGTTGATGCATGTCATCAATCCCAATAGCGTGGATCGATGCTCATGACATCAATCACTGGATTGCCTGATCCAGACTTTATTACTTACAGACTCCAGTCATATAGCTGGAATATTGCTGAGTGTGGCATTAAACAAACAAACAAACAAACAAACATGACAAGCCTACGTCATATACTAAATGACTTGCCTACGTGGATTATCTGTAGAGCTCCTTGGCATATTAAACATTGTGGGACAAAGAGCTGGGTTGTAGCGGAGTGTAAGGTTGTTGTTCTGTTCAGTGTCCTATGGTGGAGTAGAATAGAAGGGAGTAAGCATACAGACCCAAGCTGTGAGACCCACTCGCACAGAGTATGTGAGTACAATGAGCTGGAAGAAGTCCTACAATTGGGCAGGGTATAACTGTGTTATAAACCGGGTCTATTATGGGCGTATCAACATGTTTCTCTGTTCATGTCACACGAGATATGTGACACCTGATGCTGTGAGTATACTGAGGTTAAACATCTAGAGGGGGGAATAACAGTTCTTGACATTAACACAGGCTAAGCTGGCTCTGCGTTGGTGGTGGAGTGGAGCTCCCAGGGGTAAGGTATTCACCTTGTGGGTGGGGAATCAGGGTAACAGAGTAATGTCTCAGATTCAAAGATGTTTTGGAAGAATCCTGAAGGTTTATCATTTGTAATAAATAGATGTGTTGCCAAATCTTCACTTTGCATTCCTGCGTGGTTTGAGGGATACGATGGCTGGGGTCAGGCCAGGGATGTGTTGATCTTCAATAATGGCTAGGGTCAGATCAGGGAAGGGTTGATCTCATGGCTGGGGTCAGATCCACAAGGGTTGGTCTCATGGCTGGAGTCAGATCTAGGAAATGTTGGTCTCATGACTGGGGTCAGATCAGGAAAATGTTGGTCTCATGACTGGGATCAGATCAGGGAAATGTTGGTCTCATGACTGGGGTCAGATTAGGGAAATGTTGCTCTCATGGCTGGGATCAAGTCAGGGAAATGTTGGTCTCATGACTGGGGTCAGATCAGGGAAATGTTGGTCTCATGACTGGGGTCAGATCAGGGAAATGTTGATCTCATGGCTGGGATCAGATCAGGGAAATGTTGGTCTCATGACTGGGGTCAGATCAGGGAAATGTTGGTCTCATGACTGGGGTCAGATCAGGGAAATGTTGGTCTCATGACTGGGGTCAGATCAGGGAAATGTTGGTCTCATGGCTGGGATCAGATCAGGGAAATGTTGATCTCATGGCTGGGATCAGGTCAGGAAATGGTTGGTGTCATGGCTGGGGTCAGATCAGGAAATGGTTGATCTCATGGCTGGGGTCAGATCAGGAAATGGTTGATCTCATGGCTGGGGTCAGGTCAGGAAATGGTTGATCTCATGGCTGGGGTCAGGTCAGGAAATGGTTGATCTCATGGCTGGGGTCAGATCCACAAGGGTTGGTCTCATGGCTGGTGTCAGAACAGGGAAATGTTTTCTCTAAAGGCTGGGGTCACATCAAGGAAATGTTGCTCTCATGGTTGGGATCAGGTCAGGGAAATGTTGGTCTCATGGCTGGGATCAGGTCAGGGAAATGTTGCTCTCATGGTTGGGATCAGGTCAGGGAAATGTTGATCTCATGGCTGGGATCAAGTCAGGGAAATGTTTTTCTCATGGCTGGGATCAAGTCAGGGAAATGTTGATCTCATGGCTGGGATCAAGTCAGGGAAATGTTTCTCTCATGGCTGGGATCAAGTCAGGGAAATGTTGGTCTCATGGCTGGGCAGAATCTAACAAAGAAGAGGAAAATGGAATTGTGTTGGCGTTCAATGCAAGCTTCCAGGCAGTGGGGTACTTTGGGGATCTGTAGTTCGTGGTAATGCTAAGTTAGCCAGGCCTTGATTATGTGTGTCCGTGGTCCACAAGCTTTCATTAACTGTTTACAGCACTTGGGTGTACGTTATTGAGCTCTGTTGTGTCTTGAGCATAATCTATGTTTGGGGTCGTATCGGTCCAATGAATCAACTGTTGGCGTGAGAGGCCAGAATTTGAGTAGCCTTAATAATCTCTTTGATCCTAGCCGCATGTCATTATGTGAATAGATTTTTCGTTTTCACTCCATATGTACATTTTATTGATTCTCTCTATGTCAACAGAACAAATATTTTACACATAATTTGAAAATAAATTCCAATCATTTGGAGTATGTGACTTTACAAAAATCGTTAAGCTTAGTAAAAATTGTTTTGTGGGAATACACCTCTGGCTCACTAGCTTGGAGCAATTTCCCTAATATGGCATTCCTTTGGCAAAGGGTCGCTTTATTCGGAGCCGCACATTGAACGG